CCCATAGGGTTTCCAAGGAGCGGCTGGTGGATTCGAACTGCTGACCTTTTGGTTAGCAGCCATAGCTCTTAACCACTATGCCACCATGGTTTCCTATATACATATATATATATACACATATATATACACACACACACATATACATATATAAACATATACATACACACATGTATATATACATATATATGTATATGTATATACACGTATGTATGTGTATCACTCATTGCTGTCTAGTTGATTTTGACTTATAGTGACTCTATAGGACAGAGATCTGCCCCATAGGGTTTCCAAGCCTGTAATCTTTACAGAAGCAGACTGCCACATCCTTCTCCCACAGAGCAGCTTGTGGGTTTGAACTGCCAACCTTTGGATTAGCAGTCAAGCACTTTTATCACCATGCCACCATATCCTTAACTGCTTTTGACTTATATGTTATCGGTGATTTAGAAGTGAGTGTATAATATCAGACATTTTACTTTAGATTTATTGGTAGGATATTTTGAATTTCCAATTCAGTATGGAAATGGTTATCACTGACAATTTAATATATATTAAATAGCGTAATACATATTTCATGCCTTTATAATCCTTTTTCTTCTTCATGGGAAGAAAAGGAAAACTAACATTTGTTAGACAGCAGTTACTTTGCTAGGATATTTTTATACACATTTCATTTACTCCTCACAACATTGCTGTGAGGTGGGCATTATGTCACAGATGAGGCCCAAGGTTAAACTGCAGTCAGTAAGGAGTAGAGGCAGGATTTGAGCCAAATCTATTGACTTCAGAGCACATGACATTCAGCTCTAGGAACAGAATGACCTACAAATTTACCAGATTACATTGTTTAATTTTTACTTTTAGATGCTCTTGGCTTAAAAATTCTAGTTTCAACATAATAGTTAAGGTTTGACTGCTGACTGTGTGACTGGTATTATGCTAACAGTTGGACATGGATTATCTCATGTACAGGATATTGAATTTTGGTGGCACCTATTCCTTAAGTATGAAAGTGAGTAGCACTTTTCAAAAGGTGATGAAAAGAGGAGTCATGAAATCCTCGGGGAATGTATACTAATTCTCTCTTTTTTCTTTTTCTTTGTTCTCTTTAGGGCATCCAATTCTATACTCAGGTAAAGACCATCACTTCTCAGTGGAAAGAAGAAGATGCCACTCTTTCTTCACCGTCAGTAGTCATGCCTACCATGGGCCGTTAGAAACAAGTTTGTTCCAGACTCAGTCCATCCTGAGTAATCTCCCTTTATTCTTGACCAACTTCATTTGTCAACTTTGTTCTGATAATTAATTAATAATCCCTGGGATTGGAATACCTTGTAACTAAAATCGTTCTCAGGACCATGAATCCCTGCAAAGTTGCTATACGGAGACTCCTAGTGTTTGAAACTAGATTTCACTTGCTCTTCCTACTTCTATTTTTGAGATAACTAACTGTAAAAAGCTTATTTGGAATGAGAGTTTTTAAGATCTGTTTTCTAAAAATTCTTCCTTTTTCTTGAAGATTTGAAGAAGGGAAAGGTTAAAAAGTATGTAAAGATCTTCCAATAATTGGAAGAGGAACTCTTGGGTGGGGAAATAGGATAGAAGCAATTTACCCTTTGGTTGGTTCTCAGATACAGCCCTACATAAATGCTGGTAGGGGAGACCCCTCTGCCAAGTTTTCCTGAGCCTCTAATTTATCCTGTATTACACAAAATATAATCCACTTTTACTTATCCCAAAAGTGTGACAACTACTTTCTCTTCTGCTGAATGCCACTTGGTTTTCCTAGTGAGTCACAACCACCATTCTATCATTATCAGTGTTCTTGCTTCTTAAAATCACCACTTCTCAAGGATACCTCAGTATGCATTGGATAAATCAACTTTTTTGTTATGTGTGCCAAGTGTTAAATTTCAAGGTTTACTTCAACAATCATTAATTAATGGTTCAGCCATTAAGACCTTAAAAATGCAAAAAAGTTTTTTTAGAAAACTTACTTCAGCAGTTATTTCAGGCCCAGAAATCAAGGGGGTGTTCTAACCGTGAAAGTGGACAAGACTCTTGTCCACTAACCTGATATTTACTTGCCTTACTAGAATTTTATGTTCTTTCCTCTTGCCTGCATTTCTCATTAGTGATACTTTTAAATGAAAGAACACTTAATTTAGAGTGATTGGGGCCTAAGAAATTTCAAAGCTTTTCATGACACAAAGTAATAAAGAAATACCTTTACAGATTCTTCTGCTACCATTAATTCAAGTGTCTTTATGCATTGTTTCTCTGATATATCTAAACTTCAGATATATCATAACAGAAATTGATGTGATGTGCTGGACAGAATGTATTCTGTCTTTTTTGCTCTACCATCCTCTCTGAATCCTGACTTTCTGATACGGTTTCCACCCTGTGAACTAGAAGGCTGCTGGCTCTGATGGAATACTCTCTGGTGCTCAGCCAGATAGCACAGGTCATTTATTTTTCTGCTTTCACATTAGTCACTTAGATAGTGCTAACCTACTTCATGGAGGTTATTCAGTGAATTAAGGATGATGAAAAGCTTTCAAAATATTTGTGCACTCTGTGGACTTTAGCCGCATTACTGCTAGTTGCTGAATAGGATATCAGAATCTTCAATCATCAAAAACCAAACTTGATGCCATCAAGTCGATTCTGACTCATAGTGACCCTACAGGACAAGAGTAGAACTACCCCATAGGGTTTCCAAGGAGCGGCTGGTGGATTTGAACTGCTGACCTTTCTGGATAGCAGCTGAGCTCTTAACCACAGCACCACCATGGCTCCTTAATCATCAAAGGTGACTGAAATTTTACTAAGCTCCACTTAAGACCCTATTTTTTTTTGTGTGTCTTCCTTTAAGTAAGGCAATAGAAATTTATATTTTGAGAATAGACTGCCCCTTGTTTTATCTCTATCACAGCTGGCAACTGGTAGTGATATTTAATCCAGTCCAACAGCTATAGGCTGGGTTGAATAAAAGATCATATTGTATAAATGCCAAATGGAATTAAATATAAGCACAGAGACTCCTAAGTTTTCCTTACATCTAAGGGAAATCACTTTTTAAAAAATACTGACTAATCAGAATTATGTTGCTCCAAGTGGAATCAACTTGTTTACTCACCTGGCCAGCTACTTGCTGCCAGAGGAGTTTCTTTTTTCTTAGATGGAAAAAAAAAATCTGAGCATTTATGGCCATTGCTAATAGCAGCTAATAAATTCAGTATTTTATTTTCTTTTAGCTCTGATGTGGCCTCATTTCTCAGATTCTACATTGTGCTGATTATGAATAAAAAATTACAAATAAAAACCTCTTAAAGAAAAAATGTGGTTTGTTTGTTTTTTAATGGTACCACATACTTCCTTATAATGCCTTTGTGCCCTGCTGACTCAGACTTCCCACTTCTGTCCAAAGCTAAGAGTTACAAGGTCGTTAAAGAACCATGACTAATGGACCACAACTACCACAGCCTCCACCAAACTGAGTCTGCACAACTAGGTGGTACCTGGCTACCACCACCGACTGCTCTGACAGGCATCACAACAGAGGGTCCTGGGCAGAGCTGGAGAAAAATGTAGGACAAAATTCTAACTCATACACACACACACAAAAAAAGACCAGACTTACTGGTCTGAGAGAGACTGGAGAAAGCCCAAGAGTATGGCCCCCGGATACCCTTTTAGCTCAGTAATGAAGTCACTCCTGAAGTTCACCTTTCAGCCAAAGATTAGACAGGCCCATAAAACAAAAGACTAAATAGGCACACCAGCCCAAGGGCAAGGACTAGAAATCAGGAGGAGATAGGAAAGCTGGTTAATGGGGAACCCAAGTTCAAGAAGGGGAGAGTGTTGACGTCACGGGGTTGGCAACCAATGTCACAAAACAATATGTGTATTAATTAATGAGAAACTAGTTTGTTCTGTAAACCATCTAAAATATAATTTAAAAAAATAAAGAACATGACTGAAAGAAAAGTTTATTCTTACATAATCTTACACGTTTGGCTAGGCTGCTTATTTCAAAAAGCAATCTATAGGTTTTCCACACTTAAGAAAGGCACAAATAA